GGCTCAGGTCATGATCCTGGAGTCCCGGGATCGAGTCCCGCATCGGGCTCCCTGCTCAGCGGGGGGTCTGCTTCTCCCTCTGACCCTCCCCCTTCACATGCTCTATCTCATTCTCTCTCTCAAATAAATAAATAAAATCTTTAAAAAAAAAAATTAGACCAACTTGTAATGTCAGCAAACTGAGGGAATGACTTGCGTAATAAAGAGACAGACTCGTTCTGTGTATCCTGCAAAGTTAACAAAGGTTAGGACAGGCTAGCTCCGATTTCATAAACACAGCAGTATTCCAGCTTCTAAGGTAGACTTAGAACTAGAGGCATGTTTATAGTTACACTGATGTTTTAGTTACAAATATCCAGACTCTTCTGAGTCTGCCCTAGAGCAAAGCTGACCTCACGGGTCATCTAAGGGTAGCCCCTAATTTTCATAATTACTTGCAAATCAAACAAGAGTCTACGTCATCCAAATCCAAAGGAAAAATTTGCAACCATTTGAGATAAGCAAATGTATACTCCACAGGGTATACAAACTGCATTTCCTTAACAGATACTCACTCTATGGCATTTGGATAATTTATATTTTTCTGAGACCCTTCTACTTGCATTTCCTAGCCAGCTGGTAGATGCAATGTTGCTTTATCATAATGTAGCAGGATGCAGTGTGCATCCAAGGGTGCAAACATGTCAGCCTTGTGGACACCCTGTTGTGGAGGAAGGAGTGTTATTTAGGTGCCCAAAGAACTGACTTCAGCTCCGCTTCCAAAGCCCTGTCTGAGCTATGTCATTTTGTCTGGGGGTCTCTAGGCTCCTCATCTATAAAATGGAGGGAGGGGGATATCCAAAGTTCCTTCCAGCTCACAGTTCTCTACTATATAATACACAATTAGTCAAAACATACATTAGAAGCCCAAAGCTAACTTGGTGTATTTTCGGCCATTTTGCATTCATAGTTCCAAAAGTTTTATATAGTTGAGAAATGCAGGAACTAAAATGGCACAAAGTTTTTTCCCCCCCTCTGTCAAATGTACCTGCATTCATACTTGGACCACCCACAGATATAGAACCATCGTTTTATTTTCCATTATTTTATCATGAACATAAAATGTGGAGTCCATCTGGTAACAGACTTTATTACAGACTTTATGCATGACACGTCTGCGGCTAGGGAATAGACGAATGCCAGTCCTTCATATCCTCCCTATTGTCAACACAGAAATGCCACAGATCTCAAACCAAAACATGTTTCAAAGATTGGACTTACACCCCACCCCGTATCCTGGAGGAAAAAGATAAACCTGATGACATTCTAAGACTTGGTGCCTGCTTTAGTTCAATTGCTAGTATTATAAAATGCTCATGCTGTTGAAGAGAAAAAACAAACCAGGTTAGGAGTTTTGTTCCTGCGTCTGCTAGTAGCCGGTCGAGCCAGCTCTGTAACTGCACGCTGATCACACAATCCTTTCAACTCACACGTCTGCAAGGTCCTCAGTATTCACATGCATTAGCAGTTAGGGTCCACAGGCAGAGAGAGGGAACTTTTTTTTCCCTACTGTAAATTCTTCACAGAAGACGACACAGAGGCAGTTAACCCCGGGGTGGCTGAGAGCCTCTGTCAGGGACCGTGTGCATGGTACTGACCTGCTTCAGCTCCCTGGTGAAGTACATGTAAGTCACGGCCACGCAGAGGGACTGCAGGAGCACTGTAAAGATCAGGATCAGCACGCACGTCTGCCCGGGACTGGGGCCCCCCAGGGCCTGCATCTTGCCGGGGTCCTGTCCAAGTCTCACTGCTGCAAAGGCAGCCGGGCAGCAGGTTATTGTTGTCAAACCAACGAGGAGGGGTGGAGCTCTTCTTAGGTTTCACTTATTTAAAAATAGAATCAAAACTGAAAACAACAGGCTAGGAAGAGGAGAATTCCGGGAAGCTCTCTCCATTTTATAGGAATGTCAGGGACCAAGGAGGGAAACAGACATTAAAAATTTTTTAAACTGGAAGTGCTGTGTGTTGGGTCAAAGAGCTGCTTCCCCAGTGCTGGGGGCCTTTTGGGTCCCGTGGCTGTGCCTTTGCCCAGCGACTGTGCTAATTCCTAGGCTCCCATGCTGCATCTCATGCCAGCAACCTATCCCTGGGAGCAAGACCACAGATCTGACCATCAGCTGGGGCCACTCTAGTCTGGGGATGCAGGCTGCATCGGGAGAAGCTTCCTTTGTCATCTCTCCAATGTCACTCCGTGGCCCCATGCAGCAGTTCAGCGACCTGGCTGGTGTCTTTGGTTGGGAGGCTGTGTGGTGTGGGGGTTAGCAAACAACCTCAGGGGCTCAGACTGCCTGGAGGCAGATTTTGGCCCTGCTGCTTCCTGATGTGAAACCCTACCCGGGTTTTTAAGGGCTTTGTCCTTAAGCTTCAGCATCCTTGAAGTGGGGATGATAGTAACACCTACCCCAAAGTGTAGCTGGTGTATGAAATGAATTACTCATGCCTGGCTTCCTGGGGGTGCTTGGCAAATATAGCCTATAACCTTTCTAGCTACAGACATGGAGACTGGAATGGACAAGAGGATGGAGCAGGGCCTGCTCACCAACTTAAAAATTAATTCCCTATTTAGTCCTAAGTGAGATTTTATTGACAGTGCGATATGGAATTCCAGAAAATGTCAGAAAGACCAAGGAAATGTACCTGAGTGGTTTAGACAAGATATATTCATGCCCAAGATTAATGAGGTAAGAAATGTAAAGCATTCGTCGTGGTCCCTGGTTCCGCAACCCCAACTGTGTATATACATTTGTTTTGCCATCTTTATCTAGGTTATTATTTACGTACGTTAAAATTCATCAATTTCAAAGGTATGGTATACCTTGATAATTGTATACAAGGTGTAACCCACCACGATCAAGTTATAAAATGCTTACTTTACTTTAAAAACTTTCTTCAGGGGCACCTGTGTGGCTCAGTTGGTTAAGCGTCTGCTTTCAGATCAAGTCATGATCCCAGGTGTCTGGGATCAAGCCCCGCGTCAGGCTCCCTGCTCAGCCAGGAGTCTGCTTCTCCCTCTCCCTGTGTTCTCTCTCTCAAATAAATAAATAAATAAAAACTGTTTTCATCCCCCTTTGCCTGAGTTCAGTTTTGAGACACTTCATTGAGTCCTGTGGCTATCTCTAATATTGACTTTCTAGGTTATTTTAAGAAGGTAGGTTACCTCTCTGGATGTGCTTCTGCTCTTATAAAATGAAGAATGTTGAAACAGACTTGTTCCTAGGGGCTCTCCCAGTACATTCAGAAAACAAGGAGGTGGGGAGCATACGGGCAGGATCTCAACTTTGCCTCTCAGTCCTTGAGAGCCCATGGATGTGGCAGATACTAGTGGGTAGAATCCTGTGGTCCCTTGAGACAGACTAAGTTTCCATTCCCTCTCTTGGTACTATGTAAACTTTTCTCAGTCCACCTGTTTCTTCATCTACCATATCAGACTCTTTTTTTTTTTTTTAAAGATTTTCTTTATTTATTTCAGAGAGAGAGAGAGAGCACAAGAGCGGGGAGGATCAGAGGGAGAAGCAGACTCCCTGCTGAACAGGGAGCCTGACGTGGGGCTCGATCCCAGGACCTTGGGATCATGACCTGAGCCCAAGGCAGTTGATTAACTGACTGAGCCACCCAGGGGCCCTCAGACTCTTTTTTTTAATTGAGATATAACTGACATGTAACTTTGTATTAGTTTCAGGTTTACAGCATAATTTGATATATTTGCATATATTCATATTATTTGTGTATTTTATAAAATAATCACCATAAGAAGTCTAGTTACAGTTTATCACCACATATAGGTACAGAATTTTTTTGTGTGTGATGAGAACTTTTATGAGTGACTCTCTTAGCAACTTCCAGATATCTAGTACAGTATGACTAACTATAGTTACCATGCGATACATTGCATTCCCACGACTTATTTATCTTATAACTGAAAGTTTTTATCTTTTGACCACCTTCACCCATTTTACCCACCCCTCCCTCTGGCAACCACAACCACCAATCTGTAACCTTTGTCCGTGAGTTCAGGTTTTTCTTGTTTGTTTTGCCTTGTTTTTTAAGATTGCACGTATGAGTGAGATCATATAGTATTTGTCTTCCTCTGACTTATTTCTCTTAGCATAATACCTTCCAGGTCCATCTGTGTTGTCACAAATGGTAGGTTTTCCTTCTTTTTTATAGGTGAGTAATATTCCATTGTGTATATATACCATCTTTTCTTTATCCATTTATCCATTAATGGACACTTAGGTTGTTTCAGTATCTTGGCTATTATAAATAATGCTGCAGTGAACATGGGGGTACGTGTTTCTTTCAAGACAGTGATTTTATTTCCTTTAGATAAATGCCCAGAAGTGAGATCAAAAAGAACAAGAGCAACATATAGTAGTTCTATTTTTAAGTTTTTGAGGAACCTCCACACTGTTTCCACAGTGGCTCTACCAATTTACATTCCCACCAACAGTGCACAGATGTTCCCTTTTCTCCTCAGCCTTGGTGACACTTGCTATCTCTTGTCTTTTTGACACCAGCCATTCGGACAGATGTGAGGTGATATCTCATTGTACTTTTGATTTGCATTTCCCTGATGATGAGTGATTAGCACATTTTCAGGTACCTGTTGATTATCTGTATGTCTTCTTTGGAAAAATGTCCATTCAGGTCCTCTGCTCAGTTTTTGATTGGACTGGTTTTTTTCTATTGAGTTGTATGAGTTCTTTATATATCTGGGATATTAACCCCTTATCAGGTCTATGATTTGCAAATATTTTCTCTCATTCCATATGTTGCCTTTTCATTTTGTTGATGGTTTCCTATGCTGTACATGAGTTGCGTGCAGGTTAGCTACTCTCCCAGAAACCTCACATCACATTATAATGAAAGTAAGGCTCAGACTAATTTCTCCCACACATGGAGCTATCACTAAACAAACACTAATTAGCAAACTGAAACAACCAGATCACCTGCCCTGCAACTTTATGAAGTCCCAGTTGTTTATTGTCTTGAGATGAGCAGTTCTCAGCCTTTTCTGCCCATTGAAATCACCTGAGGAGATTTAGAAAATACTGATTCCTGGGCCCCACCCCAGAGATTCTGAAGTAAGTGGTCTGGGGTGTACCCTGGGCATGAGAGGGTTTTTAATCTCCCCAGATGATTCCAATGTGCAGCCAGAGCTGAGAACAACTGACCTCTAAAAAATTTTAGATGCTCAGATTATCACCTTACACAAAATGTTCATTGAAGGCAGGAGTGACTGTATTTCATTGACTCTTCTCTTAGCACCAGGCAGTCGGAATCCTCTTAATTCACAGCTGATCATCGAACAGGTTAGAAAACCTTAAATATCAATAATTTCAACAGACACCATGTCTAATATTCATTATTAACAAATCACTACTTCTACCAATGAAAACCAGTTTCTGACTTTCATTGTGCCAATTAGCAGAGTTTATGGTGTGGGTGTGGAATGAACAATAAGAAGTATGGTAGCTCGGAGGGCCAGCTCTGTAATGAGAATGACAGAGACCACCTGTGGGTGTCAATTCAAAGAACTCAGGACCTAGGAGATAATTTAAAGTAGTACGTTTTATTTTTTGTTTTTTTCTAAAAGTTGTGTTTATTTATTTTAGAAAGTGAGAGAGGGCATACATGCAAGTAGGGGGAGGGGCAGAGGAAGAGACTTTCAAGCAGACTCCCTGCCTAGCGCAGAGCCGGGCGTGGGGTGGGGGTGCAGGGCTCCATCCCTCCACCCATGAGATCACGACCTGAGCTGAAATCATGAGTCTGACGCTCAAGTTACTGAGCCACCCAGGCGCCCCTTAACTAGTACATTTAAAAAATCACACTGTGTTCATGGTTCTCAATGCTGGTTGCATATTGGAATCATCTGGAAGCTTTTAAAAACATCAAAGACTGAGTCCCACCCCATAACTTTTAAATCAGAAGTTCTGGTGGTAGGACCCAGATATTGGTATGTTTTTAAAGTTTCCTCAGGTGACTCTTATGTGCAAGCATTCATTTGTGATGAAGCCCTTTGAAGTAAATTGTTGGCATCATAAAAGGTGGCTAAGCTAATACATTAGACATGACAACAAAGACTAATAAAATCAAGTAGACAGTATCATCAATATTTACCTTTTATAGAATTTTTTATTAAAATTTCAGTGCCAGCTCGTAACTACTCACTCTAAGAATGTGTAAGTTTACAAAAAGAACAAGAGCAAGATTTGAAGAAACACAACACTGGAAACACATGTTCCCGATTGAACCCCACCCTTTATCAAGCCCTGAATTACTTAATCTAACGAAGGGTGTGTTCCAAGGCTAAGATGGCACCCCAAAGTACCTGCACTCTTACTCTGGAACAAAGGCTGGTAAATATTTTCTGGAAAGGACTGGGTAGTAAATACTCTAATCTTTGCGACCTCGGTTACAACGACTCGACGTCGCCAATGCAGGGCAAAAGCAACTGCAGATGCTACATATATAGTGGGACTGTGCTCTAATGAAACTGCCTTCACCAAGACAAGAAGTGGGCCAGATTTGTGCTGACGGCCTAGGTGGCTGGCCTCCACCCTGGGGCAGTTCTGGAAGCCTGGTCACCAGCAGGATCAGCGCCCCTGGGAGCTTGTTAGAAGTGCACATTCCCAGGCCCCCACCCTGGACCTCCGGAATTGCAAACTCTGGGGCTAGGCCCCTGCAAGCCCTCCAGGTGATGCTGATATGCATTAAAATCTGAGAACTGGTACTCTGGAATAATCCTTCCATGTGCACAGGGACATCCTGTGTAGCTGTTTAAAGTCTACCTCTGGGCATTCTTATTCAGTAGGGCTACCAGAGGACTTAGTCTCTCTTAAGAATTTCAACAGAGGGGCGCCTGGGTGGCTCAGTCAGTTAAGTATCCACCTTCGGCTCAGGTCATGATCCCGGGGTCCTGGAATCGAGCCCCCCATCAGGCTCCCTACTCTGTGGGGAGCCTGCTTCTCCCTCTCCCCCACCTGTGCTTTCTCTCTCTCAAATAAATAAATAAAATCTTAAAAAAATTTCAACAGAATTCTTAGATAAAGGGACTCATAACAGCTCTGCAGAAGTAGAAGCATGTACTTTGGATTGTCTTCCCTCACACCACCCTATGACAGGAGACCGTACAATCAGGCCCATTTTACTCATGAG